CGCACACGCAGCTGCAAGTTCTTAGGCTGGCCCGATGGCGAGTCTGTCAACGACTAGTCGAAGACAATGGGGCAGTCTCGACCTCGTGAGCAGAACTCGAACGGTGGGCGCGCCACTTTAGTGAAGCCTATTATTCCTAAATCAAATGACTCTAGCCGCAATTCCTTATTCAGCAGGTCATGATAATAAACCAAACGTAATTAATATTTCCAGCCACCGTGTTTTTTCCCCTGAAATGTCTTCACTACTGATGAGCATAGCTAGTAATCCATTTTCGCCTACATAGAATGGCATCGCTGGCAAAAACGAGCTGCAATTTGAGTGGTCTATCGATCTGGCTACCGAAAATCGAGAATTTATGCATTCGAGACCGCATGTCTACCCCCCAAAAAGGGGGCCTAAAGGGCCAGAGCGATCTCTTAATTTCCACCAGTTAGACGATAGAGCTTGTAATTTCGTCTGCCCCATTCGCATCCGCATTGGTGATTGTTGGGAGATGGAATGGCAGAGTGAATCACATCCACATTAGGACGTTTTGATTAGTGGACACGTGTGATTGGCCCGTTCGCCAGCCAATCAGACACCGGTGCTAGAGCCGAGCCGTTGACGCACCTTCTTTGTTCTTCCACCCTCAAAGCCTCGTCATTCTCATCTCTTCAGTCTGCCCTCTTTGTCCTCTTCCCCTGCTCGCGCATTTCTCCAATGTCCGCCGAAGTTGCCGAAGTCGAGCCCGAGAACGTGAGGAAATCGACGGGTGGACTCTCGTACGATGTGCTCAAGGATGAGCATCACGAGACCGTCAACCCTCCCGCCAGGCTTCAGGAGAAGACGCACGAAGAGCCGAAGTCCGAAGACTTGGAGAAAAAGATGAAAGAGACAGACGAGCGCCGCAAGGTAAGCCTCACTCATCCTTTCCCTCCGCCCCGTTCCCCTTCAGGCCGTCTCATCCTCCCATCGTGTGTCCGTTTTAGGCGCTTGAAGAGGAGAAGGTGCACAAGCTGAAAGAGCACCTCGAGCGCGTCGAGCACGTGGTCGAGTCGCACAAGCAGAACGGCTCGACGGTCGAGGAGGCGGAAAAGAAGTCGGAGGAGCCGTGATCGCCCTCGACTGCACGACCTGGCCCCCTCGGACGCATCTCTGACTGCACTTGGCTCTCGCCGCACGTCTGCCGGCCGACGCCCAGACGCCGGTTTATCTTTTGCTTTTGTCGCCTGGTGCTTGCTAATAATTTATTACAATGACTCGAACTACTTGCACTGGTTGGTGTCTTTTCATTTCTCTCCTCGGCACACGCTCGTCCTGCTCCCGGTTGCTGGGCGTTAGGTCGCGACTTGGTGTCTTTCCGCGTTAGCTACGCCTTGCCGGTCCGGGTCTGGTCTGGATTCGTCCGTGTTTACTGTCGCGAACGGCGGCGCTACTTGTTCTCTATTTAAGTAGCCCTCGAGGCCGGTCTTTTGCTGAGAGGAGACTAAGCGAGTGGCGGGCGAAGCGCCGGCATTCGTTGTCGTCGATTCGAACGAATATTGTCCCCTACTTTAACAGACTACTCGTATCGTTAGTGAGTAGGCTCTCCGAATTTCGAAAATATTTCGACTATTGCAACCTGGCCGGGAGTGCATGCTTGTTCGCGTCCGTTTCTTGCCGCTGTGCTACCTACGCCAACTCGAAAGCCTCGGGCTGCATAGAGTTGTCCGGGGATGGGTGGATTGATTAGCCAGCCCCAACGTACCTTCCCACTTTGACAACGTCCACATCGGCCGCGCGGGGTACCGGGTCGTTGGTTTAGCGGCGAGGTGTAGCGAGGCCAAATGTCGGACACGGGGTCGTCCGAGTCACGTTTGCGTATGAAGCATTTGAGTACCTTTCATTTCGGCTGGAGGCCGGCGGTCCGTGAGGGTTTCCCTGTGACTTCGAATATTGGTTTGTGCGGCCCCGTTGGATCCGCGGTGAGATTTCGTGCCTCTAGTGACGGACATCGCCAAGGCGGGGCACTATTCTCGGCGGTGTCTGGTGAATTATGTTTGAGCGTGGTGTCCTCTTCCCATGACGTCCGTCACATGCGGGACGAAAGCTCATCCCGAATTGGTCAGGGTCGCAGCTCCCACAGCTGGTAAAACCAACTTACTAATGTCCTCCACGTCCACTCAAACTGAATGAAAGCTCCTCCAACGTCACTCTTTTGAGGGATTCTTCGAAACCCAAATCTCTACATGTCCGTCAATTCGGTCGGCGACCTCGCTTTTCAGCAAATATTATTTTGTCACTAGCTGAGTTTTCACACAATGGAACCAGTCTCGAGCGTAATAAGTAGATCAATCGGTTGTAATGGCAAGTGCTTGTCAACACATTTCATATTGTCACGAGACCTGCAGCCGGCCATTGTATGGCAAGGTCAAGTGATGCTCAAAGCCATCTTGAGGCCTGCTCTTTTTGCTCGTTGTCCCCAATGATCACTCCACAAACCGCTCTTTAAGCTTTCATCCAGGCATTACTGCTAGCCCTAAAAACGGTGCCAGTCTGCCCCACTTTCGCAATCCTTCCCGATGGAGCTAGTTTTACCTCCCTGTCTGTAATCCCCTTGGGTGTGAGGC